ACTCAAATTACGGTTTGAACCTTCCAACAGCACTTTGAGCCCTAGATTCGGACTCATTTGGGCTCGGATTGGGTTGATATTGGTGTCGTTGGGTTCGTATTTCCAAGACGCTCAGTTTGACTGTAAGCTCGCTGAAATCGGAGTTCGGGTGCTGCCAAAATTAATTTTTGAAGTTTCCAACTAGCTTTTGCCTCGAGATTCGTGCCCGATCAAGATAATTTTGTGATGCCGTAGATTATATGAATTAAAGAATAATTACGTACGTAAGTCTCTTAACATCATACCATCTCTCTCTCTCTCTCTCTCTCTCTCTCTATATATATATATATATAGTCTGATCTCCAACACATGGGATTTCTTTGGAATCTAGAAATCTGGTTGTAACATCTCTGGCTTATAAATATATTTTACTACTTGTTCCTCCTTGCAAGTAAGATGAACAACATACCAAATAAATGAACACGTATATAGAACTTCTTCAAGAAGCTTTCTGTCATTCATATTTCGTCTCTCGGTCTTTATAAAACTATTCTTGAGCTAACTCTCCCATTATGTTATTATATTATGTTATTGAATACAGCATGGCAGCCCATACTAACCAAGCCCCTCAAAAGCTTCGTATTGGCTCTAAGTGACGAATATAAGATTCCTGATCCTCTCGATATTCGTACAAGATCGCAGGAAGATATAAACTCCTTTCAGAAGAGTTTTTGGGAGTCATAGGCGGGAGATTATGCCTTTGTTTGAGCTTTCTCACTATTTTTTAAAACAGATTTTTAAGAATCAATAATAATATATCAGTAAAAAAATTATCTTGATGGGCACAAATCTCAAGACAAATCAAGTTTGGAAACTTCAAAAATTAAATTCGGGACCATTTAACTCCGATTTCAGCAAATTTACCGTCAAACTGAACGTTTCGAAAGGACAAACACAACGATACCGAATTTGACTAAATCCAAACCCAAATGGGTCCAAATCAAAGACCCGAAGCTCATTTGGATGGTTTAAACCTAATTTGGATTATCAAATAGTTTCTAAACGTAACATGCTTATAGCCGAATCGAGAGGCTCGACAAGACGAATCCAATGTGCTCAAGATCGCCAAATTCCGATATCATTAAAACATTTAAATACCCAATAAACGATCTATTATCAAAGAATTATATTCAACATGGGTCGTCCATCCAAACCACTTCCAATTAATTCACCCTTAATCTTCCTCCTATTTATGGGCCATGACACTCTAAAAAAGCTCTTGCCACCAACCTCCTCATCAACCACCGCCCGGACTTCCGCCGGACCACCGGACTACCACCCGACCCCGGACAATAGCCTGACACTGAATTTCTATCGAACCACCAATTGACGCCTGGAATTTTTTCATACTACTGCCTGTCACCAGACAGTTTGGCACCGTCTATGGGAACTTGGTTCCCAACTGGGGGGACAATTTTTTATCAAACATCAAAATGTCGTTCATGTCAATGTCATGGAATCAACTATTGTTGCATTAATTTTATGGGAATTAAATATAAACTGAGGGGGCAACCTAAACTACCATCGTGGTCAAGAAGATTCTCCAACTCTATTAATATTCATGATGATATGTTGAGATCATAAAGATTTTAGCAAATGCAACGATGCTTCTAATAAATTTCAAGCTTTATACACTCCCTAGTTAGACTTCTACTTCA